GTTTCATTGACTATGCAAAGGCATTTGACTGTGTGGATCATAACAAACTGTGGCTGACTCTGAGAAGAATGGGAATCCCAGAACACTTGATCATTCTACTGTGAAACCTTTACTTGGACCAGGAGGCAGTCATCAGAACAGAGCAAGGGAACACTGCATGGTTCAAAATTGGGAAGGGCATATGCCAGGGATGCGTCTTAGCTCCATACCTTTACACCGGTAGTACATGAAAATTCCAATTTCTCCACATTCTCATCGATATTCATTGTTCACTCTCCTGTTAGTTTTTTTTTATTCATGTTCATTGTGTTTCTTTTTTGTACATCGTGTTGTTATTGTGTGTGTGTGTGTGTGTTTCACATTTTCCTTCATTGACATTGTGTTTCATACAATTATCCACATACATTGTGTTTTATAAAATTAATTTCCCATCTACTATGCCCACCATTACTCTGTCTTTTCAAGTACCCACTGAATATTTCCCATTAGCTTTACTTCTCCCTCCACCCACCATATTTTGCAACCTGTGATATCCCCCTACTTCTCCTTACCCCTCTGCTCCCACTCCTTTCTGCCTTGGGCCTCCACACATGTTTTACTAGATATCAATCTATTTTTACAATAGTGGTCTTATACATTATTTGTCCTTATTAGACTGAGTTAGTTCAATCATCATAATACCCTCTAGTCTCTCCAAATATATGTAGTATTTTTTTAAATCATTGCTCCTAAGTGCCATCAAGTCAATTCTGAATCCTAGCAAATTGAGTCTTGGCACAGCGATTGAGCATTCAGCTACTAATTCACCTGCTATTATGTGGGAGAAAGATGTGACAATCTACTTTTGTAAAGATTTCTTGTATCGAGTCAGAATCAACTCATAGCAGAACCTTCAGTCAGTTTTCAGAAGCAATAAATCAAACAAGAGGAGATTGCTTATCTTTTTTTCCTCCCCCAGAACATCTGTTGGATTTGAACTTCACACCTTTGGGTTGGTGGAGTAATTCCTTAGTAGTAAACCACCAAAGCTCCTTTGGCAACCCTATGGGCAATTCCACTCTATCGTACATTGCAATTAGTTGCTATCAGTTTCAACAAATGTGGTTCTTAGGTGCCATCAAGTCAACTACGACTCAAGAATTCTGTGAACAGCAGATCTGAACCTTACCCTCTTCTGCTCCATCTTCACCATCTTTGTCATCCAGTCAGCCCCTCATTTCATCTCCTCTTTCACTTGACCCTCTATTTTCCCCAGAATGGCTGCTCTCTCTAAGGACTGATTCCTCTTGAAAAGTGCTGACTATCCCATAGTCTGTCAAAAGAACAGACACATTTATTTTGAAGAAAGTGCACCAGAGTGCTCAAAAGGCAAGGGTGCATTTCCTTGGAGCATGTTTTCAGAAGGAATCCATTTCAACTAATAGCAATCCATATGGCAGAGTACAATTGTTTCATAGGGTTTCTGGGCTGGAATATTTATTATAACAGGTTGCTTGGCCTTTCTCATGCAGAGTTACTGATGGAGTTGAACTGTCAGGCTTTCAGTAAGCAATTGAGAGTAATTTGTGCCACTCTTTAGCACTTCTTGCTTAAAGTTCCTTGAATAGAAGTGAGGACAAAACATTGAGCTATGTGGTTTTGGTTTGTGCTTTTCTACATGTGTGGAGTATAAAGCATGACAGATGTACAGGTGCTGGAGGCACTACTCGTAGTGACACATCTGGATACCTGTCTTCCTGCTGGTGTAGTTGCTACCTGATGACATACAGTTGAAAGTCAGCCCCACAAATGTCCTGAACCAGGGCCTTGCCAGCATCTGTGTCAAAACTGGAGAAGAGCAACAGGAACCACTGTAAGCCCAGAGTGAAAGGCTGAAAACAATAGCAAAGTGAAGAGTGGGTAAGACAAGCCTGGAGCAAGGGCCAGGGAGGAAGTGTTGCAGGTGAAGGGATGAACCTGAACCCTGCTGAATGTTCACTGTTAGGGTTTGGACCTTTAAAACTCATAAGGGAGAAATAAAGAGAGCTTGTTTTCCTTAAAAAAACAAAAACAGAAGAAAAATCCAAACCTTTGCAGGACCACAAGTAGTAGGATACTACACAGATGTTATGCTGTGCATGACAGTATCAGATCTAATAAATAAAAGAGCAGTCACTATTTCTGTCATGACCAAAGTAACTAATAAGAAATGGGTGGATAGAAAATAGATTATGTAAAATTATAATTTTTAAGAAAGCCAAGAACTCGTTTAATTCCTGTAGATTGAAAACTAAATCCCTTCCAGTGGATTTTCATAAGACTGCAAATCACATTACAGAAGATTGTCCATCTTTCTCCCCACTGATGCAAACTATCTGAGAGGCACTGCCTTTGGGTTATAGCAGCGCAATTCATTACAGTCTATGGCACAGGGCTCCCTAACATTCCTTCATTCCTTTAAATCTGTCTCCTGCTACATTTTACTACACAGCATAGAAAGTATATTTATTGAAAAGTTGTTGTTGTTATGTGTCATCAAGTTGCTTGCGACTCATAGCGACCCTGTGTACAAGAGCCCTAAACACTGCTCTATCCTGTGCCAACCTCACCATCTCAAACACATTCATTCCCACCACTCCAGTCACAAAATCGATCCATTTCACCGAAGGTCTTCCTCTCCTTTGCCACCCCTCCACTCTGCCAAACACGATGTCCCTCTCCAAGAACCAGTCCCTCCTTGCAACATGCCCAAAGTATGTCAGATGTCAGACAAAGCTTCAGAATCCTTGACTCCAAGGAGCATTCCGGCTTCACCTCCTCCAGGGCAAACCTGTTTGTTCTCCTAGCAGTCCATGGTATATTCAACACTCTTCTCCAGCACCACAACTCAAAGGCATCAATTCTTTTTCTATCATCCCTACTCACGGTCTAACTCTCTGATGCATAGCACGTAATTGCAAAGACCATAGCCCAGATCAAGTGCACCTTAGTCTCCAGCCTGATGTTGTTGCTCTTCAGTACTCTTGAGAGGACCCTCACAGCTGACTTTCCCAATGCACTTCGTCTCTTGATTTCCTGGCTGCTATTACCAAGAGTGTTGACTGTGGAGCCAAGTAAACTAAAACTTTTAATATTTAGACGTTTTATTTAAAAGTCAAACATGAAGTAATATTTGTTTTTAATCTTAAGTGAATGAAAACACACAGGATAGAATACATATTATAAAATTAGCACTATTGCAACATCACCAACTAGGTGGAAATTTGCACAATTTTAAAACATAGGAAGAAATGGCCAGATTTTTGGAATTTTCTTTACAAATTCAATTCCACTAATGGAATACATTCACAGCAATACACAACAAATAAAACAAATAGTAGACACCCACCTGCTCTCTTGTGGTACCAGCAATAAAATGGTAGAGCAATAATAGCAAAACCAAGCATACTAGACAGTCCTCCAAGAAGTCTAGCTGTGACAGGGTCTCTTCTAAAGTCATCAGGTTCTGAGGAAAGAAAAAACATTGTCTCAGCTTCAGAAGACAAAGAACAATATTTTTTTAAAAAATTATGCCTTAGAATCCTTGTGGAATTGGTGGAAATAATGTGTATAAATTGATGTAAGAGAACACTAAGTACAGTTTTAAAAGATATGCTTTTCAAATTCATGTAAGGATAATAGATACTGACATCATACTCTCTACTTCAATACTATACAGAGCAGACATCTTACAAGATGCAACTTATCTTCCGAAACCATAAAAGCTATCAAGAAATAAATATGTAGAATAAGGAAATACAGGTCAGTCACATAAAGATGTGTTGTCTTCTAAGATAGCACAACCACAGGGCAGAGGCTTGCAGGATTTATAATAATAATTTAAAGGGAAATGTATGGTTTCCTAATTATGATATGGATCATAGAACTCTTATATTCCAGACTATCAACCCACCTGTGACATTGAGTATCACTACTTGACTGCGCTGAGCCTCCAGGCCATTGCTGGCCTCACAGAAGTACATCCCAGAGTGATTTGCAGTCAGAGAAAGGTTGAAGGATGCTTCCTCTTTTAAAGATGCCCAGTTGTTCCCCAGGGTGGCATCCTCATGATAGAACTGGTACAGAATTGGGGGAGAACCTCTTTGGACAGCACAGTGAAATTCTACCACATTCCCCACTATAGCCTGGGCTCCAGGAACCCTGAGGGTGAGGACAGGGCGAGACACTGGAACTGATAAAGACAGAGGAACTGTCAGAGTGGATTTCTTATTCTTCAGTAATCTCACAAACTCCAATAATGGGATTTAAGCAAAGGGTCTGACCCCTTAGTCATGCTGGATTCTTTCCATTCTCACATTTCTACTAGAACAATAAGACGTTGTTATGCACTGAAGTCAGAACTGACTCATAGCTGACTCTAGTGAGTTTTCAGAAGCAGTCAGTTACAATGGGAGTAGATTGCCCATATTTCTCCCACAGAGCAACTGATGGATTTGATTTGTGTTCCTTTGGATTGACAGCACAATTCCTTACCATTAGTTTATTAAAGGTGTATTTAGAAATATAGAAGAATACTAAATCTGAGATACTGCCTAGGGCATGTTTCATATTTGTGTAATCTATCCGCCCCCACCCCACCCCCCTTAGGCCAATTCTGACTATGTTCCACCAAAAAAATGTAGTGTAACTTGAAAGAATAACCTACCCTCGAATTGCTATTGATTCTTCACAGAATTAGAGATTCTTCACATTCCTGGGGCCTCCTGGAATTTTCTCATACCACCTGTGTCTTTGATTCCTGAATTTCTGTTTAAGATAAAAGAGAGCAGAACTCACTTCTCACTGTGATGTTCACCTCAGTCTGGACGGGTCCATGGCCGTTGTCAGCTCTACAGTAATATTTGCCGGCATCACTCTCCTTTACAGGCAGGATTTCCAACTCTGCTGACCAGGAACCATGAGTCTTCTTTGCCAGACTTATCTCTGTAGACTCTCTGTGCCAGGAGAATGTGATGTTTCCTGTGCCCTCAGACACTGAACAGAAAAGGGCCAGCTTCCCTCCTTCAAACACTTGTCCTCCAGGGGGCTGAGTCTTTAAGCTTATGTTAGCCACGGGCACCCCTGGGTGGGTACAAGATAACACGGGTCATAAAGAAGGGCGAAGACTGAGTCCACTCACAATTGCATGAAGTGGGAATATAGGATTCGCGCAATCCACTATAAGGACTGAGAAACAGAATCCATTGTAACTATGTTTGTAAATGTTTATTCAGATTCTTGAATTTCCAAGCCCTAATTCTGGTTAATTTCATAACGTAATTACTAAGTAATTTATTATTGATTCTACTATAATAGGTGTCCTTGATATATGAAGAAGGACATTGGTGGAATCATTTCAACTTTGAAAAAGGCATTTTTCTATTAGAAATCCCAGTAGTAATTCTTCCTCAACTGCTCCATCCTAGAGTGTCCTCTGCTCACTAAAATTTATTCTGGTTTCTGTTGCCTTTGTTTTTTCATTTAGTCCAATGCACTTGAACATTACATTGCCTTTTAATACTCTAGTAGAGTGTTAGAATGGTATTACAATACCAGTAGATCAGCTATTTGGAGGCAAGAACTTTTGCAGCTGCTGACCCACTGCTAAATACCATGCATGTACACAGTCAATTACAGGTGAATATTTTATTATTTGACTGTTAAAGTTGAGACACATTAAGAGACTCTTAATACATTTCTGATTCTTACAAATAAATATGTCAATAATCATTTGCAGAGTTGTCTAAACTAGTTTCCAGTTTCCACAAGATTAATAATTGCACAAAGAAAAACACTAGCAGCTCCAGCTGAAGCTCAAACACCTCTCTCTTTTCTTTCCACTTACTCTGCACACGAATCTTAGAAGGGATGCTCCTCTTTTTTGACCCTGTGATTCACTGTCTGTGCTTCACACCAATAATACCCTGAGTCTTGGCTCCATATAGTGGGAATCTGCAGCTCTGGGGACCTGCTCCAGCCTGGCTTCAGACTCTGGCCTTTCCTGAAGAAGCAGAATTGAAGTTCAGTGTCTGACTTCTCTGGATGGAGCCTGGTGTTGCAGGTCAGTGTTACCATGGCTCCCTCAATGGGTTGTGAGGGGGTGACTTTCAGCACAGGAGGTGAAAATAGCTCTAGAAAAAAATGACCACAAGAGTTCCCAGAGTTATGAGATCCAAGGTTCCTACTGAAAAACACCTGTTGAGAAGCAACTCTAACATACAGGACACACAGAAGCAGACTCGCCTCTCTTTCACAGTCAAACCACTAGCATTCTGGTTCATGCTTAGTTTATGGTCAATTTTTCCCATTGAACTTCCACCCCATTCCACTGCCACAACCTCCTACCCTGCCCCAGTTCATACATGAATGAAAATATTACCTTGAACTTCAATCTTTTCTGTTTGGGAGTGGTGTGGACCAAAGATGCTGAAAACAATACAGTAGTACTGGCCACTGTCACTGAAAACAGCACTGTCGATATAGAAGCTTGAACTCTCCTTTTTCAAAAATAACTCTTTTCTATTCTTGTAGTAAGTCACAGTGTTTACCATTATGATTCATGCAAAAGAGCAACTCATATTCACACTATCTCCTTCAAAGATAGAAGAGGGGGCCTCAATGGTCAGCCGGACTGTGTGAGAGATAGAACAATTGGATTTAACTTTTCTGCACATGACTCCAATGTCTCATCTATGCCTTTGCTGTTGGCCCCTGAGATGGTGTCAGGAGTTTCCTCTATACCTTACAACAAAATTCAGGTTCCAATTGTTTCCTTAATTAATCAAAGTTTATCCTTTTTTTCCATAGGGCAAGAGAGATTCCAAGGTCATTATTACTTTTCACATAGATGAAGGAATATTCTGTTAAATTTCCATTGCTTAGCTCTGTACATTAGTGATATCACACAAGAGACTACCAATCTCAGTAAAGACCTTTCTATTTCATTCTCAATGCATTATCTACGAGTTTGACAGTAACTAACAACGTATATTCATGAAACTCTCAACAGACACAATAATGAATTTCAAGACTTTTTGTTGCTGTTCTTATGCACCGTTCAGTTAGAATCGACTCATAGTTGACCATCTAGTGGATTTTCAGAGGCAGTAAATTGCACAGGAGATTACTCAACTTTCTTCCAGAGAGCAGCTGGTGGATTTGAACTGCAAGACTTTGACATAGGTGAATATGGGGATGTCATATACTCAATTTCAACTCATGGCAGACCTCCACTGGGTTTGTGTCTCTTTATGGAAAAAAGACTGCTTCATTTCTCTCCTGCAGAGTAAGAGACTGGAACTGACAATAGTTTCAGTTAGTAGCATAGCATATAATGCACTAGGGCTTCTGTAGAAGGCATGAGCATGAAAGCTCTGAATGTAGTGATCCTAAGGTGTGGGCACAAACTAGTGTATAGCTTCTACTATGGAACTACAAGAAATCAGAATAGATAACATAATGAAGAAAATCAGAAGTCTCCAAGGATGCAATTTTGTATCAGAATTCAGTTGCTGGAAATTCATTCCCATTCATAGTGACTCCATCTGTGTTAGAAAATAGCTATGTTCCATAGGAATTTAAAATGACTGATGTTTAAAAAACAGATAATCAAGTATCTTTTCTGAGATGACTATGGATGGATTCAAACCTCCAACTTTTCAGTTATTGGGTCAGTGTTTTAAGTGTTTGCATTGCTCAAGAGCTCAAATCTGTGTACAATATCTCTCAATCTTGTGAAAAGAGTCAGAAGTTCTAGTAAGGAAAAGAGAGTAAGACGTAATGCTGACTCAAAAACCAAACCATGTCCAGAATGAGTTGAGAAGACAAACTATTGTTCAAGAGTTTGTGGGCAGTTGAAGGACACACACGCACACACACACAATGAGGGCAATGTGTTGGAGGAGGTAGGGAGACTAGGGGTAAGAGATAGAGAAGACTGTCCTGAGGAAACAGTGAAGAAAGAAAGACATTTTCTACTGCTACTTTGAGCTGCATTTTACACCGTGCATGGAAATATGAGACTTTTCACAAGCGACATGACGGGAATTCCAGAAGGTTAACTGACTTCTCAGACTCCTTTATATAGCAGTGCCATGATTTAAATCCAGTATTTTTCAGAGTGACGCTCACTTTTAGGACTGCAAAGCCTTTTATTTCCTCTCACAGAATGGCTACTGAGATAATCCAATCACAGGAACCAGCTGCTGTGCTTTTTCTCTCTATGAAACCACAGCTTTAGTTTGCTTGGCTCCACAGTCAACAGTCTTGGCACCATCAGCCAGGAAATTAAAAGG